CCAGGTGGTAGCTAGGGGATTTCTCATGATTGCAGCCCCCTTTTTCTGTTCCACCCCCTTATATGGCTTTGGCACAAGGCGGGAATCTTTTGTCTCTCTGGGTCCCCACCCCAACCCCCCAAATGGAAAAGCACCAGGTTTAAGATGGATTCCAGTACCAGGTGACATGGTCACATTTCCTGTGAGACTCCCAGCCTTCATTCCTCCCAGCCTGATTCACAGGAAGGCTGCCTGCAAACAGAGCTATCCACAGTCAGTTGTCCTGGTTGATGGGAGCCATCAACATTCCAAACCACCATTAATGGCCCACACTTTGCATAATTACAATAGGCCTCAGAGTGATATTTCATATTTCTAGTTTCAGATAAAAGAGTGATACATTTATACAAATAGGATGACCACACTCGGTAGATTGTAAGCTTTGTAATGATACCTTACAAGAGACCTTTTGCATGAAGCATATTCCAGTTATATTATATTCACTCATTAGCATATTTTCATAAAATCATGTCTAGTACAAGGTCCCAGCCAGACTCCTGGGGGAAGCCTGTGCTGTGCCCTTAGGGCACTATGCTCGGTGAGGCAGGGAGCCTGTTCAAGCAAAGGGGACAGTTTATTACTCAGCTGGAACAAGGGCTCCGAGAGATCCTAGCTTAGTACAGAGAAGAAAAAGTGAAGAGCGAGTTCAGGCTGACCAGCGCCAGGCCTCCCTCAAGCCAAGCTGTTGTAGGAACCGTTCCTTTCCCTGTCCCTTTGTCTGCCTCAGGTCAGCTCTGTATCTCTGGGGACACGTCTGCACTGCAATGAAAAACCCACAGCTGTGAGGCTGGGCCCGGGCCAATTGACTTGGGCTCACAGAGCTAAAAATCACAGTGTAGGCGTTTGGGCCCAGGCTGGAGCCTGGGCTCTGAAACCCCACGAGGGGGGAGGGCCCCAGAGCACAGACTCCAGCCCGAAACGTCTACACTGCAATTTTTAGCCCCGCAGTTTGAGTCAGCTGACCTGGGTCAGCTAGGGTTGGGCCATAGGTCTTTTATTGCAGTGTAGACATAGGCTCTCCCCCGCAGCCACCTGGTTTTGTTCTCTGGACCAGCCACGCTGTGCTCACCTGCCTCGGAACCAGGTGTCTGTCTCCGGATACAGAAATGTTGATTCCAGCCCAGAAAGTCCTAGCAACTCTGCTCAGATCCCTGGCCGGCTCTCCCACGGCCTACGGAGAGAATGAATTCTTTCCCCCAACGGGCAGTGGTGCCAGGGTGCTAGGTGCAGAATGATGCAGACAGCTCATAAACACCGTACAGAGCTTTGTCACACTAAGTAACAGCAGTGGGGTTAGCAGCCAGGGCTGGGCGTGTGGCTGTCTGCCCCGGCAGCCAGGAGCTGGGCCCTGCCTGGAGGGAGGGTCAGGCTCAGCATGCGAGGTCCCCAGGAGCCTGCCCCGAGGGGACAGTCTGGCTGATAACAGGAACCTATCCAGGCCCATGCTCCAAAGGTGGGGAAAGTGTTTTCAAAGAACTAACATCCCAGCCTCTGCCAGCCCCTCTTCTCCCTGCTCCCCCCACCCACTTGGCCCTGCCTGGGGGCAAAGGGGGGCAGCGCTGGCCCAGGCACGGAGAGGGGGGTGTTCATGGGTCAGTTTGGGATGCAGGAGCAAGTCTCCTGGTGCTGGTTGTCTCTGCAGGGAGCAGTGAGGGGGAGCTGGGGCAGAGCTGGGGGTGGGGAGTGAACTCCAGCTGGCACCAGTGGCGGGAGATGGGCTCCTGTGGGGAGCACACTGCAGCCCAGCTGGGTCATGGTGCCAGGAACTGGGGCACAGCAGCAGATAGCTCTGCCAGAGCCTGGACTTGGGGAGGGTCCTGTGGGGTCACTAATCCCAGAGAAGTGAGCAGGGCCCCGTCCCCACCACTGGGAGTCCTGTCCAGCAGCCCCTCACTGAGCTGCTTGCTGAGCGGATTGGGGCGAGGCAGTAGGGTGCTGGGCTTTCCCAAGGCCTCTGCCTCAGGCCCATCATCTGACTGCCTGTGAGGATTCAGGGGGGCAGGGAACCAGGCACCAGGAGCTGGGAGGGCTGGCACTGAAGCGGGGTGACCTGCAGGAGAAGGCCAGTTCCATGAGGACTCCCCTACTGTGTCTCCTGCCTGGCTCGCTGGCAGCAGTGGTTGGCTGAGTACCAAATCTCCTCACCCAGATGGCTGGCTCCAGTGGGCGCTGTCCGCGGGAGCAGCTGGTGGCTTACCTGGACTGTCTCTGCAGGTGTCCCAGTCCACCTCCTCCCTTGTGGACACAACCATCTCCAGCACCTCCCGGCCCCGCATGAAGAAGAAGCTCAAGATGTTGAACATTGCCAAAAAGTAAGTGGGTTCGCTCGTCCTCCATGGTGTGAGACAACTGGGGCTGGCCCAGCCCTGCCATGAGGGGTAGTGGAGGCACCCATGTTCCCAGCCCTGCTGCGGGAGTGGGTAGTGCACCTCCCCCCAAGCCATTAGCACTAACTGACCTCTCCTTGCTCTGCAAAGCAGCTGCACCCCAGCCTGGACACCAGCCTGGAGAACCCACCCCCAGAGCAGTTGACCGGCACCGGACCAGCCTGTGGCATGGTGCTGCTCAGCTCCCTGGGTGGGGCCCTTGGGCCTCCGGCCCCTGGCATGAGTGAGTGCCATGGCTCAGGAACAAGTCCTGCCTCCTTGATGCATGATGCAGATTCTCTTCTTCCCTGGTGTGTGGGGGGGAATCTGCCCCTGCAGGCAACTCTCTGGTTGGCCCCGTCTATCCCCTCTCGTCTGTCCCTGTGCCCAGGATCCTGCGCATCAAGAAGGAGCTGCCCATCCTGCAGCTGAAGGAGCCGCCGCCCTCAGTGCTGGAAGCGGATCTGACTGAGTTTGACGTGGCCAACTCCCACTTGCCGTCCGAGGTGCTGTACATGCTGAAGAACGTCCGGTGAGTGCCCCCAGGCAGCGGGGCCCAGAGCCCAGGCTCAGCTGCAGCCACGTTTCCCCCTCCCCGCAAGCAAGCTTGAGCTAGGGTGGGCACCTCTGAGGTACGAAATCCAGGAGACCCGGGATGGTCCCGAGCCCATGACCTGGCCAGCTGGCTGTGTGTAATGGAGCGCTCTGTCCGACTGATTTCCCAGCACGGTCCTGGGAAAACCTGGACACCGTGTGAGCCTGTCAGATCATCTAGTCCAGTTGGTCTCAACCTTTCTTCATTTGCGGATCCCTCTGGACATTTTGAATGGAGGTGCGGACCCCTTGGGAAATCTGTCTGTAGATACAGCTGAATTCTGTTCAGTTTGTTTTAACCTGTCCTTTGCGGACCCCTTAGGCATAGTCTGTGGACCCCAGGGGTCTGCGGAGCACAGGTTGAGAACCACTAGTCTAAGCTGTGCAGGCTCCAGCCCAGTCGGACCATAGGTGGGAGAGCTGCCGGGAATGCTCTGGAGCAGCAGGAATGGTGGCCCTGGTTCTCCAGTAGGGAGCGCTCTTCCCTCTTGGCTGATACAGAGCTAGTGCTCCACGGGGCAGGGCAGCTGGAGGCAGCCTCTGTCGGGTGCGAGCAAATGCCCTTGTGGGCTCGTGGTGGGACCCAGCAGAGTGTTAGTCCTGGCTGAGTCCCGGCAGTGTTGCTGTGGGGCTATTGCATCAGACAGACTCTTCCCCAGAAGTGGCTGTGTTTGGGGTCAGGGGTGACAGCTTGTGGGCACTGGGATCCTGGAGCACGGTAGTGTCACTGGAGGCTTGACCCTCTGGGGCAGCTCTGTCACGGACTCACAGACCGTGCCCACTCTTGGCCCCGTGAGGGGTGCCCCTTTCAGTGTGACAGCCCTTCTCAGGGGTCCACTCTCTCGGGGTCAAGCCCCTCCACCTCCTGGGCCGCACCTATCTGAGCCTTATCATGTCTGTCTCTGCCGTGGGCCCCCTCAGGGAGTCCACTTGCTCTGGACCCCCGGGGCCTCCACCCCCTAAGGGGTTGATGCAACCCTGTTCTCTAGGCCAGAGTGACTCTCAGCCAGCATAAAACAGGAGGATTTATTGAGAATTGAACAAAGTACAGGAAACTCTCAGGGCCTCAGGCCTGCCTCCCTCAGCCCAGCACATCCCAGTCTCTCTGCATCCAGGTGGGCTCTGCCTGCTCCCCCTCTCCAGCCCAGAGCCCCCCTGCTCCCAGCTGGGCATCTGAGATCACCGGCCCCAGGCCCCACCTCTGTCCATTGTCTTCTCTCCAGGTAAACAGGCTCTCCTGCTTCTGTCCTCTGGCTGGAACCGGATGGTTAGGTCACTGGGTCCTCACTCTGCAGCCCATTGTCTGCCCACTGGCCAGAACCGGCTGTGTCTCCTCAGCTGGGCCTCCAGGTCACCAGATCACCAGTCGCTGGGGTATCCATCCTCCAGGCCATCGGCTGGGTCCCCAAGTCCTCTCTCCGGTCCTCTGCAAAACACACCCCCTCTCCCCTCACCTTGTTAAACCAGTAATACCCAGGGAAACTGAGTCCCACCCCCTCCACATGCATGCAAACCATTGAAACTCCACAGAAAACAAGAAACCCCCCCCACTTCGTCACAAGCTCCCACTCCCCCATTCATTGAGATGTGGGGCGGGGGGATGACTGACCGAGCCCGCCTAGTCCGCTGGGCTCTGGGTGGGTGCTCTGGCCCATGTGATGCAGAAGCTTGGGCTGGGCCCCAAGAGCCCCTCATGACATGAGCCCCAAGTCCCTGCCATGAGTTGCTGAAGGCTTTGCTCCCCTGCTGCCAACCATGACCCGCCCTTCCTTGCAGGGTGCTGGGCCATTTTGAGAAGCCGCTGTTCCTGGAGCTCTGTAAGCACATGATCTTCCAGCAGTTCCTACAGGGCGAGTACGTCTTCCGGCCCGGCCAGCCCGGCACCAGCATCTACGTGGTGCAGGATGGCAAGCTGGAGCTCTTCCTGACCCAGCAGGGGCGAGGGCATGTCCCAGCCCACCCTGCCGTGTCCTATCTGCTCAGCAGCTACCAGTGACCCCTCCTGCCCCAAGCCAGCTGGGGAGGCTGGTTGTGGCCCCAGTGCTCTGCACCCCTTGGCTGGGTGGTCCCCTGCACCTGGGGACACCTTGGGGCAGAGGGGCATACAGGAAGCAATGGCTGAGGCCAGCTGCCAAGCAGCCCTGCCCTTCGGGATCACCGTGGCTGTAGGCTCCCCTGGGGCTGCCTCCCTTCCAGGGAGGGGCTCATGGAACAGGCCTCCACAGAGCCTGGCGCCAAGCGAGTTCTGGTGGCAGGGATGGCGAGGGTGGGTGATGGGGGCCCCTAAGGAGGGTGTTGCTGTGTTGCAGGACGGGAAGGAGACCCTGGTGAAGGAGGTGTTCCCCGGGGACAGCGTGCACAGCCTGCTCAGCATTCTTGACGTCATCACGGTACCAGCCCTGTCCCTCTACCTCCTGCTGGCCCTGTCCACCCATCCCACTCCCCCGCCCCTCTGGTGCTGGAGTGAATAGTCCAGCTCATTGAGTGACTGGCAGCCATGGGCTCCCCCCAGTTCTGCTCATGACCCTCAATCCCAACCCGCAACCCCCTGCTCTCCTAACCCTGGGTCCCTAACGAAAGGCTAAATCCGGGTAGGCCCTGTGGGATATGTATGCTAAGCTCACCTGACCCCCATCCCGTGATGGGTTTGCAGCCTGGGTCTGAGGTGGTGACATGCCACCATCACCCTGCCCTGTGCTTGCCACCTTGCCCCACACCTTTCCTCCACAGGGCCTGGGTCTCGGCCTTGGCTGGCTGCTGGGCTCGGGTGAACGTGGCTGTAGGCTGCTCTCTGGACCTTTTGGCCTGAAGCCGTGGGGTACCCCCCAGATCCCTGGCTGTCCTCGGCAGTGCCCCCCACTGGTAGGCTGCTCTACCTGAAGGAGGAGGCGGGGGCACCCTAACCTTGGTGCAGGGACCCATGGGCACTCGGTTCTCACACAGGGGTACCAGCGGCCATACCGGACAGTGTCTTCGCAGGTGGCCGAGGACTCCACAATGCTGCGGCTGCTGGTCGAGGCCTTCTCTGCCGTCTTCGAGAAGTACCCCGAGAGCCTGGTGTAGGTGGTGCAGGTGAGTGCGGCCTCGGCTCCCATCCCACGTGCTGACGCCCTCCCCTCCCCCGCATTGTGCCGCATGCTCAGACTCTCCCCTTCCCTTCCAGATCATCGTGGTGTGTGTGCAGCGGGTCACCTTCCTGGCCCTGCACAATTACCTGGGGCTGACTAATGAACTCTTCAGCCCTGGAGCTGGGCAGTGCTAGTGGGAAGGGGTCCCTGGACTCCCTGGTGCAGCGGAGCCACCCCCACCTACCCCGCCCGCTCTCACGCTGCTCATGCCTCCCACGCAAATGGGGAGGAGAGGAGAAAAGTGGTTGCTGCAAACCTGGCTTTGCTCCCCACCTCCTGCTGGGGTTCTGCCCTGCTCCCCAGCTGTGTTTGAGGGTTGGGGCCAGGGGCGGGGAGCTGCTCTAATGGCAGCAGGCAGGAGCATGGGGGCCGGCAATGCCACTTTCTGCCGGGCCACTGCCCCTGACGCGCTCTCTCTGACACTAGCGGACATTGCCCGGAACCTGGGCCCCAAATCAGTGGTTGCCATTGACATGGGCAGTCAGGACGAGACTGACCTCTGCGACTACGGGGACAACCTCTCAGGCCGGTGGCTGCTGTGGAAACGCCTCAGTCCCTGGGCCCAGAAGGTTAAGGTGAGCCCTGCCCTGCCCTGGGGGCTTCCGAGCCCGAGAGCCTCCCCCAAGGGGAACCTGCCCCATCTCTCCTGCTGCCTCCGGGCACGTCACTCCGGCCACCTGTGTAGAACTGATAAATGAAATTGTTTTTAATTGTTCACTTTTTCAATGCAACTTCATAAGTCAAGTTTTATGAATGAATCCACATTCATTTTTGAATGAACCACATTCATTCATATAACT